GCCGGTTCTATGAGATTTGTAAAGGGCTACAATTCTCTGGAGCACTCATGAAAGACCAAGTTGTTCAGGGCTAAAATAAACACAATAGTAAGAACTAAATTGTGTCTAGTAATATACTATGTGAGTTCTATTGTCTTGGTTTACACAAATGGCTGAACAATTCAAGACATCATGTTCACTGGTTAGCTAGTAAATCCGATAGTGTCTCACAAGGGAAAGTTCAAAACCAAAAGCTACCTATCCTTTGTAGAATATTCCCAATTTCTGAATTCTCTATAATTAGATCATGTTGTTGCATTTTCTCTTTTTCAAATTCCATTCATGTGGGGAATTGTTGGAAATTATGGCTTTTATAGGCTTATTTTGGATAAACTTTGAGTCCAAATTTGAGTGGGGCCCACACGTCTTTTGGAATGGGTCCAAAGAGGTGACGTGTTCCTTGTCGCATGGCAAGTCACACAGTACAAACGGTTCATCAAAACCATTTATGAGTGAATGGGAAGTTGACATCATTTTCGGGTTCATGGAATGAACAATTAAAGAAGTAAAATGTGAGTTTCCTTGAAATGGTTGTCCCACATTGAAACTTAAAGAAAACTTATGTGTATATATAAGCTCTATGCGGACAAACTTGGGTTGGGCCCCAAGGGGCATCCCAAGTTTGTAGAATTGAGAAGTTATGGACAAGTGAGCCTTAGCTCAAACCACTACATACACGAGCGCGCCACCATCTGTCCGTCCGACCGGCTGGCCGAGCCGAGCCGTGTCGGGTGCAGGTTTTGGGTCGAGTCGATCCTAACATTTATTTTTTGGACAAAATTTATTTGAAGTTTTTAAAATTTTTGTAGGAAAATTATTTGAATTTTTGAACGAAATTAATTTAATTTTTGAGCCAAATTTTTTTATCCAAAACAGTGCCCCTCCGGTCCAATTTTCCAACAATTTAAATTGTTCTAAACAGTTTGAAAACTGCCCAACAGTTCCGAACAATTTCAGACAGATTCGAAACTACTAGCAGATCTGTTCAAATTTGTATTGCACCTGCTCGGATTTAAACTACATCTGTTCGGTTTGAAAGTCATACATGTTCGGCCCTATATATACCAGGACATTTCCAGTAGTCAAAACATTCCGAAAATCGTTTTCCTTACTTTCCTTTGTGCTCTCTTGCATGTATATTCTACATATTATTTTAGAAAAAAATTTTGAGGTATAGAACACAGGTTTTGTTCATTGTACAGATTGTTTGGAGTGCTAATACAATCTGTGTAAAGAGTATTGTATCTTGGGAGATAGACGCCATTTATCTGTAAGCACCGAAGCGGAGCGAATCTGTCTTAAGGACAGAGTGTCATACACTCGACTTGATCATTTTTTGTACTTATGCACACTGGTAAATAAATTCTATAAGTAATTTATTTTTATTTGTTTGACTTGGTTTCAAGTTATTTATTTTACACAAAAGATTGTTCCAACAGATATTAAAGCAATGAAGGAGATCCTAATATTGGTAATGGGCATGGTCTTGATTGTTACTAATTTTTACCTTTGGTTGCTGTTGATTTTTTGAGCTATTGTTTGATATGGTCTAAGGAATATATGGTTGATGCTTTTTGATGCTTTATTGTAGTGTAGTGGATCAATTATGTGATTAAATCATGGTAAATTGATTCCCTTTATCTTTTTGTTTCCTTTCACTAGAATATATGTGTATCCAAAACATATAAAAGTAGATAGGTAGTAAGAAATAAATTGCAGCTTGCCTATCCATTAGAGAAATGCATATCACTTCCAACTGTGATCAACTTCACTCTCCTACTTTGTACTAGTTTTTTTTTAAAAAAATTATTTATTAACTATAAATACATATTTTACTTAAGTACTTAAAACTTGATTTATAGTTTGGAGATACAGTTGTTCTAAGAAATAATATTAGGCCAACAAAAACAGTTGCAATTAGAGTACTTTACAGCATAGATCCATCTAAAGAAGTAGATGGGGAAGAATTAAGACCTGACTTTTGGGAGGTACAAGTTCAAGTTCTTGTCAAACCTAATGAGAGCTTCATCCGAACATATGGACTTGTCAAAACAATTGAACAAGCTATTGAAGCTCATGTTTTGCCCTACTTCATTTGTGGTATGTTTCCTCTATAAATACTAATTCCATTGACAAATTTATATTAACTTTATAAAGTTTCTAATGCTTTTATATGGTTTTATTTTGGAAACAGATTTCACAAGCTATGGATGTTAGTTGAGAACAAATATATGAGTGAGGTTGAAAATTTGGAGATTGAGTTTATTTTCGTAATTTGACTTTGTGGAAGATGGATATAACTATTATTTTTTAGAACTTATGCTTAGTTTGTCCGTGGTTGTATTTTTTTTTTTTTTTTATTTTTTTTTTTTTTTTTTGCTTTGACTTTGTTAATGTGGTAAAATGTTTTTATAATTTTGAATATGTTTTTTATTGCAATATAAATAAATTTATGTCTTTAGACCAAAAAATATGTTTTGAATTTTCTTTGTTTTTGATGTAATGATCCTATAGTGATAATATTTGTCCATTGTTTTGGAAATATTACAGGATGAATAGATGTCAAATTGTCAATGCATGATGTGACAATTAATATTTAATTTTTTTGTAAAATAAGAAATATTTCTTTTAGGCATTTTCACATGCTTAATTGTAACTTTTAAAAGTGTTGCTGAAAAGAACATATAAGTGGCATTTCATAGTAGTGGTAACAACTTTGCAAAGTGTCGCCACAATAAGCTCCAATGGAACTTATCTGTATTTATGGCACTAATGAATCATGAAACACTAACACTTTGAACTGCCACTAAAAGTTTGGTGTAGTGGCATCTATACGAGTTGTTAAAAATATTAATTGTGGCATAAGAAGCGCCATTAAAAATAAAGTCGCATTTTTTAGGTTGTAAGTCTTCTTTTATGGCGTTTGGTAGTGCCGCGAATATTATCTACCATGACATTAAAGTGTCATTAAAAGTCTTTAGCCTTACTGGTATAATCACTACAAGAAAAGTGGGCTTAAAAGACGGAAGCATTTGCGACGACACACTAGTCGTCTCAAAAAGTGACTTTTTACGACGACACAACTTACTATCGCGAAAAATGTGAGTTTTTGCGACGGCACAATTTGCTGTCGCAAAAAAATAAAGTATTTACGATGGCACCAATTGCTGTTGCGAAAAAAGAAGAGTATTTGCGACGGCAAAGATTGCTGTCGCGAAAAAATAAAGTTTTTGTGACGGCACCAGCTGCAGTCGCAAAAAAAAAAAAGATTTTTTTTCGATTGTAATAGGTACCGTTGCAAAAAAAAAAAATATTGTGGCTTTGAGACGGCTTCATATATATAGTCACAAAATTGTTTGAATAAATGCAATGGTATTTTTCTGTTGCAAAAAAAAAATTAAAAAAAACGATGCCGTCTTACTCTTTTGATATAACATTTCTCTTTTCACCCATTTTGTCATCTTCCTATCTCTGTCTCTCTCTTTCTTTCTTTCTCGCTCTCTCTCTCTCTTCTCTTCTCTTTCTTTTTCACTCATCACTCTTCTCTGTATGTCTGTCCGTTTGTCTCTCTCTCTCTATGTCTCTCGCTCATCTCTCTTCTCTCTCTCTCTCATCTCTCTTCTCTCTCTGTCTTTCTCGCTCATCTCTCTTCTCTCTATCTATCTCTCTCTCTCTCTCGCTTATCTCTCTCCCCTCTATCTCTCTATGTCTCTCTTTCTGTCTCTTTCGCTTATCTCTCTTCTCTATCTGTCTCTCTCTTTTTCTATGTCTCTCTCTCGTTCATCTTTTTTCGTTCTCTTTCTATCTCTTTTTGTCTATCTCTCGCTCATCTCTTGTTTCTCTCTACTTTTCGGTCTCTCTCTCTCTATCTCTTTCTCTCTATGTCTCTCTCTCTCTCACTCACTCATCACTCTTCACTCTCTATTTCTCTTTCTGTATGCCTATCTGTTTGTCTGTCTGTCAGTCGCTCTCTTTCCCCCACTGTGCTCACATTGCTCACTCTCTTCCTCCCATCTTCTCTATTTACCGAGCTCCCTCTCGATTTATCGATCCACTACAAGAAAATGCACTTTTAGCGACCACTTTGTCTTTCTCTCGCTCATCACTGTCTATGTCTCTGTCTCTCTCTCTATCTGTCTCTCACTCATCTATCTCTCTTACTACCCATCTCCTCTACCACTTTCACCACTACTGCAAATGTCATTCCACTACCACCACTACTACTATTGTTGCCACTCTACCTCTACGACTACCATTACTACCACTCTACTACCACTACTACCACTACCACTGCTACCACTACCACCACCACCACTACTACTACCATTACCTCTCCTCCATTACCGCCACTCCATCTGCTCTACCACTACCACAATTTCACCACTAATCTCCTTCACCTTCGCCATCACCACCACCACCTTTTATCCACCACCTTCACCACTACTGCCGCTCCCTCTCCTCTATCACAAAAAATTAGTTCCTGGATTTTAGCTCCCTCTCATCTACCACAAAAAGTAGTTCATGATTTTTAGTAACCAAAAAAAAGGGGCCACAGAAAAATATTTTTCATTGATCACAAAAAATTTACTTTATTTTAATGAAAAATATTTTTCATTAAAATATTATCCCTACTTTTACCAAATAAAAAAAAAATCATTAAAATAAAAATGAAACAAATAAATTTTCAACCTTAGTAACCAAAAAAAAAAAAAAAATCAAAAGAAAAAAATTGCATTAACTACAAAAAAAAAAATTATTTTAACAAAAAAATAAATAAAATCCCATAGTGTGATCAATATATATTCTTGGAAATAGTCAAAATCCTCAATTTTTCCAAATTTCCTCAAACTCTTTGGCGCGTATGATTTCTTTTTCCCTCTTCTCTCATTTTCACGTTCAAGTCTCTCTCTCTCTCTCTCTCTCTCTCTCTCTCTCTCTCTCTCTCTCTCTTTTTTTTTGTTTTTTCATTCCCGCTACCCAACCAAAAATCCCCAATCTCTTTAACCAAAATTCCCAATCTCATAAACCAAAAATCCCCTTCAACCAAAAATCCCTAATCTCTTCTCTCTCTCTCTCTCTCCGGCGAGTGGCGGCAGACGACAGCGCCGGCAGACGACGGCTAGCAGCAAACAACGGCGGCGAGTGAGCGACGACGGTGCGAGCAGCAAATCTATTGACATGTCTAGCAGATTTATTTACACAGGTAAAACTCTAGACATAGTTGTTGGATTGTTTCTTTACTTCTTGTAGTATAGTAGTACTTCCACGTCCCTTGTTGTATTTTAGTTTTGTTTTAAATTCACCTTGGCGATTCCTTTCTTAGGTTACTAAATTTCTAGAATTGATCACTTAATTGCAGCATGGTCATGTGAACAAGACAATTTTTGCCATGTTTTCTTATTTTCAAGGGAGGGGGTGGGTTTTGCATAGAGTTATGTGATATTTAGATTTAGAGTAAATGCTTTCAAACAGTGGCTGAGCCAAAAAATCAACCAAGAGGGGCAAAATATAAGGTAAAAAAGCTACATATATAATGTACCAAAAAATGCTATATATATTTTTCGTGGACTGTACAACAAATATATATGGGAGAAGAGAGACTAGCAAAAATGAGAGAGGGGCTGTGAGCATAAATATATGATTGTGTCAATTAAAATGTTGAGTAGCATGATTGACAATTTAAGATGTTTTCTTTCAGTAGATAGAGAATGGTGTGAAAATTTTAAATTTTGAAGGCCTGTCACCAAACAAACAAAAAAATAAATAAAAGCTAAATTTCGACAACATATTGAATTTCTTGAATGATATTCTTTTGATCGATTTTGGGAGGATTTATTTTGAAGGTGGTGTTGGACTGAGTCTCATTGCTAGTGACTCTTCGTTGTCAACTTTCCCCATCCTAGTAAATTAACTTGCAAAAAAAAAAAAAAAATGCAAAAAAAACTGGGTGATGCTATTGGGATCTCTTATTTATTCACATAATGAGCATCCATATGCATGTGACCATACATGCGCATATATTTAACTGTTTACTAATAAATTTACCTGAGCCAATACTTGCTCCTGTGTAGATAAGTTCACAAAAGTAGAAAACGGGTGTCATTGCTCCAAAACGGTTTATGTAGAGATTGAAGAAGCAAAATGAAATTTTTCGAAGCTATATGCACAAGATATGTTCTTAATTTGATTATTGGTTTTGGCATATTGAGTTCAGGTGCAAGCACCAAGAATATTTAATGAATAGTTTATTTTTAGAGCGCTTTCTGGCCATGCTCTTGTCTCATTGTGGTATTTTCAGTTTCAACCTTGACTCTGTGTACTCAGGTTATCCGTATAAAGGAGTTTGATGACTTATCAGTTGCAAATCTCTTGAATGAAATTTGATTAGACTTGAGGCAAATTCATCACAAAGATGACGCTTGCAAATTGCAATGCCTAGTTTTTTGTTTGCACTTTTTGCAACCCCTACCTTCTTCCAAAACCAAAATTTATGATTATTTTCTTTTCACTCTGCATGTTTCTTGTTTGTAAAGCACCATGCAGCTACTATACAGATGGTTATTGGTTCTGTTACAACTTATAATAGCCTTGTAAGATTGGATCCATTACATGTGGTACGAAACCTCTTAGTTTTTACTAAGGCCTCGTTTGGCAAGTAGCTATTTTAGCCAAAAAGTTAAAAAGTCAAAAAGTCACAAAAAAAATCAAAAAGCCAACAACTCATACCAAAAAGTCAAAGATTTTTATTTTTCTCTACTTTTTGCACATCTTTTCGTAAAAAGCCAAAAAGTCAAAGATTTTTATTTTTCTCTACTTTTTGCACATCTTTTCGTAAAAAGCCAAAAAGTCATCCCAAACATACTAGTTTTTTTTTTACATCACATTTTAGCCAAAAAGTTACTAAAAAAGCCTGTTCCTAAATGAGGCCTAAATGGAATCTGTCTTTTGCTTTGATGTACACTGACATGTAATTATCCGGGAGATGCATCCCATCAAGATTGAAAATGGTTATGAACAAAATATTATTAGGTACATGCCTTTGGAGGTTTGGATGGAATTAAAATATAACCTCTTTAAGGCATGGGGAGCATGCTACTGCGGGATCCTAAAAAAATGACAGGTATCAACAATGCTAGGGCTTTGGAAGTTTTTCCTGGATGAGTTAATACTTGCATTGGAGTGAGTGTATGATTGTGTTTGATTTCCAAATTCCAAATACTTTCTTTGTCTCACCATCATTATGCACAGAATCCCAACTTTTGCCAATCTTTTTTATTGCATGCTTTGTTCAATGGGATTGGTGCTTAGGCTTGTGCTATATTGAGCTTAGTAATGACTTCAAAAAGAGATGGGAAAAGAAAGGAGAGGAGGAGTAGGGGAAGGCAGGGTCCATGGACCAAGTCCGTTTTTACGGCTATGATTTTCTCACATTAAACCTTCAAATCCTTGCCTTTTGGATTTATTAAAATTTTCTTCTTTCAATATGATAAGAGGACTTGATTAAAATGGAAAAGTTGTGTTCCTTGAAGTTTATGGAAAGAAGCTTGATAAAACGGTGTTTTTTCTGTTACCAAAACTTGTACAATATGATGCTCAAATAATTTCTATCTTCATTGCATTTAAGTACTTTGTACATGCAATAAGGTAGGGATCATTATAGGGTAAAATTTAATTGGACTTGCTAGCTTTGATGGGTAGGATATAATTGAATTTATAAGCCTTTCTCATCGAAGATAGGGAGGTGAAAAACTATATCTTCTTCTGTGTTGGTGAGGGTGTGTACACATGCACGCACAAGTGTGAGCGGGTGTGTATGTTTTTGTTGATGTTTTGTTTGACAATTATCTTCCATTTTCTTAGAATATTGACATTGTTCACATGATATTTTTTTTTGCTATTCTGTCTATAGATCTGGATTTCAGTTTCCTTGAGATGAATCCCTTTACCCTGGTGAATGGAGAGTCATGCCCATTGGATATGAGGGGGGAGTTGGATGACACTGCTGCCTTTAAGAACTTTAAGAAGTGAGCTCCTCCTCCTTCTTCTTCTTACATTCTCTTTCGATACACTGTAAATGGATATGTGAAAAGTTCCATTTAAAATAACCCTATTGTGATACTATCTAATCCTATTTATTTATGAGTTCAGGTGGGGTGACATATTTTTTTCTTCCCTTTGGAAGAGTTCTGAGTCCTACAGAAAGCTTCATTCACTCACTGGATGAAAAGGTAAGTGCATTACTTTTTATTTATGCATAGTATGAGAAATTTTCTATTTTGAGTAATCACTAATTGTTAAGTTGTAGAAATTTTCTATTTTCTATTCTGGTTTTTTTTTTGTTTTTTGTTTTAATTTTTTTTATATAGTTAGTTGAGCCACAAAGTGTGCCTGTATATTAAGGAAATAAGCTTTTTGCCTGTAGATTCATTTTTGATTGTATATTAAGGAAAGTGTGCCTGTATATAAAGTGCCCCTGAAGGATCTTTTGTGTTTCTTCATGGCTGTGCTCACAACCCAACTGGCATTGAACCAACCCCAGAACAATGGGAAAAAATTACTGATGTCATTCAAGAAAAGAACCATATTCCATGTTTTGATGTTGCATACTAGGTATTGCTGACTTTTATCTGTTTTTTTTTTTTATAAGTATTTAGTAGTTTGGATTGCTTGATTTGAAGCTTTTAAATTTCAGTTTATGCATGGATTTCAGTCCCCTGAAATGAAATTTAATTTATTAATATTTTTTTAAGTTGACCAAATACTTATGCTAATCAATATATGTACACATATATATATATATATATATATATTGATCAACATCATGGATTATTCTCTTTATCAAAAAAAAATAAAATCAGGGACTATTCTAACTAGTCAGGGAAAAAAGACAAGGGTTATTTACACTTTGCTCCTTCAACTATCATTGAATATCATTTTACCCCTCTTAACTTTAAAGCCATACACTTAGACCCCTCAACGATAAATGATAAAAAAAAACTCATCCCATCGTAGACAAAAAAGCCCCTCAATGAGAGACTTGTGGGAGAAAACGGGACCCGAATCGGGTTCCCGATTTGGGAGTTAGAGCCGGATTTCAGTCTAGGTAAATAAGTTTCTTAAGAAACTTAGAATTTAAGGTGTTGACGTCCCAAAATCACCAAACAACGTCGGATTTACACGAAACTTGGCACACATGACTGCCTTGGCACGAGAGACTTGTAGGAAAAGACGGAACTCGAATCGGGTTCCCTCTTTGGGAGTTAGAGCCGAATTTCAGTCTAGGCAGACTAGTTCCTTAAGAAACTTAGCTTTGAGGTGTTGACGTCTCAAAATCACCAAATGGCGTCGGATTAACCCGAAACTTAGCACAGATGATCACCTTGGCACGAGAGACTTGTGGGAGACGATGAGACTCGAATTGGGTTCACAGTTTGGGAGTTAAGAGCCAAATTTCAATCTAGACAAACTAGTTCCTTAAGAAACTTAGAATTCAAGGTGTTGGCATCCCAAAATCACCCAACGGCGTCGGATTAGCACAAAACATGGCACACAACTGCCTCGGCATGAGAGACTTGTGGAAGAAGACGGGGACTCGAATCAGGTTCCCGGGTTGGGAGTTAGAGTCGGATTTCAGTCTAGGCAAACTAGTTCCTTATGAAACTTAGAATTCGAGGTGTTGACACCCCAAAATCACCAAACAGCGTCGAATTAGCACGAAACTTGGCACACACAACCGCCTAGGCATGAGAGACTTGTAGGAGAAAACGGAAGTAGAATCGGGGTTCCGATTTGGGAGTTAGAGTCAGATTTCTGTCTAGGCAAACTAGTTCCTTAGAAAACTTAGAATTCGAGGTGTTGACACCCCAAAATCACCAAACAGCGCTGGATTAGCACCAAACTTGGCACACGCGACCGTCTTGGCACGAGAGACCTGTCAAAGAAGACGAGACTTAAATCGGGTTCCCGGTTTGGGAGTTAGAGTCGGATTTCGGTCTAGGCAAAACTAGTTCCTTAAGAAACTTTTAGAATTCGAGGTGTTGACACCCCCAAAATCACCAAACAGCGTCGGATTAGCGTGAAACTTGGCACACACGACCGCCTTGGCACGAGAGACTTGTGGAAGAAGACGGGACTTGAATCGGGTTTCCGGTTTGGGAGTTAGAGCCGGATTTCGGTCTAGGCAAACTAGTTCCTCAAAAAACTTAGAATTCAAGATGTTAACGCCCCAAAATCACAAAACAATGTCGGATTAGCGCGAAACTTGGCACACACGACCACCTAGGCACGAGAGACTTGAATCGGGTTCCCGGTTTGGGAGTTAAAGCCAAATTTTGGTCTAGACAAACAAGTTCCTTAGAAAACTTAGAATTTAAGGTGTTGACAACCCAAAATCACCAAATGGCGTCGAATTAGCACAAAACTTGGCACACACGACTGCCTTGGCACGAGAGACTTGTGGGAGAGGACGGGACTTGAATCAACTTCCTAGTTTGGGAGTTAGAGCCGGATTTCGGTCTAGGCAAACTAGTTTTTAAGAAACTTAGAATTCGAGGTGTTGACGCCCCGAAATTACCAAACGTGATTGGAATAGCATGAAACTTGGCACACACCACCGCATTGGCACGAGAGACTTGTGGGAGCAAATGGCACTTGAATCGGGTTCCTAGTTTGGGAGTTAAAGCTGGATTTCGGTTTAGGAAAACAAGTTCCTTAAGAAACTTAGAATTGGAGGTGTTGATGTCCCAAAATCACCAAACGGCATCGAATTAGCATGAAACTTGACACACACGATGGCCTAGGCATGAAAGACTTGTGGGAAAGACAGGACTTGAATCGGGTTCTCAGTTTAAGAGTTAGAGCTGGATTTTGATTTAGACAAACTAGTTCCTTAAGAAACTTAGAATTCGAGGTGTTGACACCCCAAAATCACCAAACGGCATCGGATTTGCACGAAACTTGGCCCCCACACAACTGCCTTGGCATGAGAGACTTGTGGGAGAAAACGAGACTTGAATCGGGTTCCCGGTTTGGGAGTTAGAGCCGGATTTCAGTCTAAGCAAACTAGTTCCTTAAGTAACTTAGAATTCGAGGTGTTGACACCCTAAAATCACGAAATGATGTCGGATTATCACAAAACTTGGCTCGAGAGACTTGTGGGAGAAGACGGGACTTGAATCGCGTTCCCGATTTGGGAGTTAGAGTCGGATATCAGTCAAGGCAAACTAGTTCCTTAAGAACCTTAGAATTCGATGTGTTGACGCCCCAAAATCACCAAATGGCGTCGGATTAGCATGAAACTTGGCACACAGGACCGCCTTGGCACGAGAGACTTCTAGGAGAAGACGGGACTAGAATCAGATTCTCGGTTTGAGAGTTAGAGCCGGATTTCGGTGTTGGCAAACTAGTTCCTTAAGAAACTTAGAATTCGAGGTGTTGATGTGCCAAAATCACCAAATGGCGTCAGGGTAGCACGAAACTTGGCACACATGATTGCCTAGGCATGCGAGACTTGCGGGAGAAGACGGAACTTGAATCGGGTTCCCAGTTTGGCAGTTAAAGGCGGATTTCGGTCTAGGGAAACTAGTTTCTTAGGAAATATAGAATTCGAGTTGATGACGCTCCAAAATCACTAAACAGCGCCGAATTAGCACAAAGTTTGGCACACACGACCGCCTTGGCACAAGAGACTTGTGGGAGAAGATGAGACTTCAATCGAGTTCCCAGTTTGGGAGTCAGAGCCGGATTTCGGTCTAGGCAAACTAGTTACTTAAGAAAATTAGAATTCAAGGTGTTGATGCCCCAAAATCACCAAACGGTGTTGGATTAGCACGAAACTTGGCACACACGACCGGCTTGGAACGAGAGACTTGTGGGTGAAGTCAGGACTCGAATTGGATTCCCGGTTTGGGAGTTAGAGCCGAATTTTGGTCTCGGCAAACTAGTTCCTTAATAAACTTAGAATTCAAGGTGTTGATGCTCTAAAATCACCAAACGATGCCGAATTAGAACGAAACTTAGCACAAACGACCGCCTAGGCACGAGAGACTTGTGGGAGAAGACGGGACTTGAATCGGGTTCCTAGTTTGGGAGTTAGAGCCGGATTTTGATCTAGACAAATTAGTTCTTTAAGAAACTTAGAATTCGAGGTGTTGATGCCCTAAAATCACCAAACGACATCAGATTAGCACGAAACCTGACACACACAACCGCCTTGGCACGAGAGACTTATGGGAGAAGATGAGACTCGAATCGGGTTCCCAGTTTGGGAGTTAGAGCCCGATTTCGGTCTAGACAAACTAGTTCCTTAAGAAACTTAGAATTTGAGGTGTTAACACCTCAAAATCACCAAACGACGTCGGATTATCACCAAACTTGGCACACACAACTGCCTAGGCACGAGAGACTTGTGGGAGAAGATAGGACTTGAATCGCGTTCCCGATTTGGAAGTTAAAGTCGGATTTTGGTCTACGCAAATTTGTTCCTTAAGAAACTTAGAATTCAAGGTGTTGACGTCCCAAAATCACCAAACGGCGTCAAATTAGTACGAAACTTAACACACACAACTGCTTAGGCACAAGAGACTTGTGGAGGAGGACGGGACTCGAATCGGGTTCCCAGTTTGGGAGTTAGAGCCAAATTTCGGTCTAGGCAAACTAGTTTCTTAAGAAACTTAGAATTCGGTGTTGATGCTCCAAAATCACGAAACGACATCGGATTAGTACGAAACTTTGCACACACGACCGCCTTGGCATGAGAGACTTGTGGGATTAAACGTGACTCAAATCGAGTTCTCGGTTTGAGAGTTAGAGCCGAATTTCGATCTAGGCAAAATTATTTACTTAATTATCTTTGTAATTGTATAGTAGTTAGATTTTTATGTTTTTTTGTAATTAACATATTAACGCATAATTATATTGTCATTAATTATTTTTGTTTTTTGTTTTCAGATATTTCCTGTGTAGGAGTTTGCTTCTTGTGGAATGCTTGCTCGTGAAGAATGCATCTAACTTTTTATTTTTGTAATATTTTTATTATAGAGAAATTATTATTTCTATATAGGATTTATTATTATTATTATGCAATCATTGGTTTCTTTTTCAATTTTTTTCGTTTAATACAGATAATTTGAATATTTTTTAATAATTTTATTGCAGTTTATTTTATTTTTTTGACGGCACCACATCGTCGCAAAAAACAGTAGAGCTAAAATTTATTTTTTTGGGTGACACAAGCAATGCCTTAGCAAAAGAATTTTAGTGACGGAGGTCATGCCGTTGCAACAAAAACAAAAAATTTGCGACAACATTTTTGGCCGTAAAAAAAAGGCATGTTGTCGTTAAAATGTTTTAGCAACGCTCTCTGTTGTGAACCCTCTTTTGCCCTCGTTAAAAGTCATGTTGCCGTCACTAAAAGTTTTTTGAGACGGCATTAGGAGTATTAGCGATGGCATTTTACCGTCGCAAAAAATTGAAACTTTTGTAGTGAATGGCACTTGTAAGTATCACTTGATAGTGTCACGAATAGTGTCTACTATGGCATCAAACTGTCATTGAAAATCTTTGGCCTTGATAGTGTAATGACACTTGCAAGTGTCACTGAGGTGTCACTAGTATCTACCGTGACATGGGTATAAATGACACTTATTCAAAACGCCACAAGACTAAAAATGTCAGTAGATGAGTAGTTTTGTAACACTTTGAAGTGTCACCAAACTAAGAAAATGTTGTAGTGTCACTAATATTTACTTTTCGTTACTAAAAATATAATAATACTTTTCGTAATAAAAATATTTAATTCTTAAATTTTAATTTTTAAAACTTTAATTTTTTGTAATGACAAACACATATTTTATTAACTTTTTTTATCGTCAAAATAATATTATTCTCTCAAAACTCATTTCCAATTGTTTTCCTAGTATTTCACCTGCTCTATTCACGTGAGTTTCACTGATAAAAAGATGTTATACAAATACGGGTCTCAGTTCATTAAAGCATAGACTCAGTAAATTTGAGTCAAATTATACTTAAAAATTTATTTTTGTATTTTAGTTGATATTTTTTTATGTACATACTTTATCAAATTTTCTATTTTAAAATTTAATTTTATAAAATATTTATTTTTTTATTGGGTTGATGATCGGGTCGATCACTTGGTGAAAATTACTTAATTTTGAGAGATACTAGGTAATCAACTGGGTGGTTGACCACTTGGAGAAAATTGCCCAATTTGTCCATTTATTGGGTGGTCAACAGGCGATTGACCGGGTGGATGACCTGGTGGTCGACCACTACATTAGCAATGTCAAAATTTGTTTTATTGTAGCTAGCCTCAAGGGTTCTTTTGGACCTTGTTTGGCTAATATAGCTCCAAAACTAATATAGCAAGCCTGCTGTGAATGCTTTTATGGGGTTGCACTACAAAAATTTCGATTTTTTGTGATGGCATGGTGCCGTCGCAAATACTCTTCATGCCGTCTCAAAAGTTTTAGCAACAACAAATGACTTTTAACAATGACAAATAGAGGGTCACAATAGAGAGCGTTGCAAAAGACTTAGCGACAGCAATTTGCTGTCAACTAAATGTAAAAAAGTCAGACTTTTTGCAACGGCACCATTTTATCATCGTTAAAAGTGTTTTTTGAGACAGCAAAAAATACTGTCGCGAATGGTTCTGTTTTTTTGCGACGTCATGTCCACTGTCGCCAATGGTCCTAATAAAATTATCTGTTTTTTGCGACGGTGTGGTGCCGTCGCCAAAAAAAAAAAAAACTACAATAAAATTATTAAAAATATTAAAATTACCTGTATTAAATGAAAAACAATTTAAAAAAATCAATAATTGCATAATAATATAAAAATTTCTGTATAGAAAAAATAATTTCTCCATAACAAAAATATTCTTACATTCCTAACTACGCATCAACAAAATTACTCAACTACATAATGTTCCATAATACATATATAATGTTTAAATACATAATGTTGTTCATAATTTAAAATAACATAGACCAAAATTACAAGTTTTGCTCATCATTCTTCGTGGGTAACAAAAACAAAAATAAGTCGCATTCTTCATAGACATGCATTCCACAAGAAGCAAAACTCCTACTCAGAAAGTATCTGAAAATAAAAAATAAATATAATTAATGACAATATAATTATGTGTTAATATGTTAATTACAATCCTATCTAAAAAAATATATATGTTAATTACAACAAAAAAACATAAAAATGTAACTAATATACAATTACAAAGATAATTAAGTAATCAATGAAATGAAACTGCAGGATTCTGAATATGGTTTTGAAGTTCCACATCCAGTTTCTCATTTTGATGATTGTTACATGTACCACGGAAAGAAGAGAGGGACCATTTAATAACTCAACATATATAATCTTTTGTTTGTACTCAGGTTGGTCCCAACCTATCCTAGTGGTGGCCATGATAATTTGGACCATTAGACAGCATGACTACCCCTCTCTCCCCCTCCCATTAAGTATTACCACACATACTCTTTCGTATTGTGTACTGCATGAGACTAAGGAAATTATAATGTACATATACACCTAATAACCCATTGTTATCTACGAGTTGTACACCTAATTGCACCACAAATCAAATGTATTCTCTCACTATATAAAAACTCTCACTATACCACTTAGTATATACATCAAGGACATCTATATTAAGAAGGCATTATCTATAAACAATGCAACATTCAATATCATAAAATACAACTAAACTAGCCACGTGCAGGTGCTGCAGGCATTTGACGACCATTGCACCGATATCATGGCTAGAGCCAAGCCAGCTCCAAAACATGTTCATGGTGCTTGGGGGTACCGTGGCAGTTCCAAGAATCACTGAGAACAGATTCAATAGGATGGTCCCCTATACTGTCGTCTATATGGGGCCACGATTTGGATATGAGGATCCAAAGTGAACACAAGTGCTCCATCTTTGCTAGTCTGGCACAGACATCTGTGTGGCCAACAAAGGGACTTTTGAAGCTTTTCTAATTTTAAACAAATAAATAAAATCGAACCTCACCTCCAACCTAAGAAGCATGGACACGGACACGTGACACGACACGGATACGACACGGACACGCCGACACGCTAATTTTCAAAAAATGCAGGACACGACACGCGGGGGACACGCATGAAATATATAATTTTATATATTTATTATATGTTATATATATGAATATATCATTCAAAGATAATAAAAATATTAAATATGACAATAATTCTTATGAATTTATATGATTTTTGTTTTATTATTGTATCTTAAGTTGCTTTGTTCAAACTTATAATTGGTTTCACATGTGTCTAATTGATAGACACGTGTGTTTAAGAGATACACATGTATTCTCCAAGTGTCCAAAGAGTGTCCGGGTCTTTAAAAAATAGGACACGTTTTAAAGAGTGTCGGACACGTGTCGGGAAAGTGTCCAAAGAGTGTCGGTGTCCGACACGGATACGACACGGATACGTTACCTTCTTAGAAGTGTCCGTGCTTCTTAGCCTCCAACCCAACTAGCTTGATCTCTCATGCAGATCTGTATGCTGATTATACATGATACAAATAAATCTCGACCCTTGAGAACTTTGAGAGGTCTTATGATGGGTCAAGGGCACAAGTAGTTCCAAGTTTTATGATAGGTAAACAAAGGGTTACCATGGGGAGGGCCAACGCAATAACTGGTGGACAGGTCAAACAGTTGAAGTCGTCCTACAGTAGAGAAAATAGGGTCAAGCTATTGCTTCATAAACTAACTTCACTATTTCTTGGCATCAGTTCCTAATATCTTAGCGGAATGCCGTTGTTCCGTCTATTCGGTGGTTGATAACATTAATTATAATATGTACCACTCAGAGAACATACCAGGTAGTGTCATAAAAACAACAGTTCGAGTTAAATGCTTCAATGTAAATTCAGTTTTAAGCATATGGGTCACAGTTGAATTAGATTTAACTCCTTACAGGCATATGGATAGCAAGAGATATTAAACGGAATAATCCAAATCAAAAAAATATTTTACAACACACTGACCGAAAGCTGCCCCATACCTTTGTGATCCTTCGGGTGCACGCTGGTTTAATACTCCCCCTGACAATCTCAATTTTTTTGCTAGCACCACAAACGGGAGAAGAGCAGATAACAGATGAACCACTAAACAACAGGCAAAATGTTTATATGTTTACCATCCACCATGAGTTTCTTGTTACTTTATGGAAGCAGGACCTGGGACTGGCATGAATTGTTGAAACATCCAATCTTGCCCCTGATTCAGAACTCCACCAACAGGCACCCAACTGGTCCCTTTATATTATTTCTCAGCAGACAGTTTTTTTGTAAGTTTTGGGCATTCACACATCCTTTTCAAATGAAACAATTACATTCTATTCATCACGGGATTTGAAACAAATGTCTTTCTGTGGACCATTACTGTTAATTATATATCATAGACCCTACCTTTGCCTTAAAATGTCAAGGAACATGGGGGAAAAACAAAGCATGATATGAGATGTCCGAACGCTGTTTTGTAGAGAAAAAAAACATTTCTTATGGAATACTAGAATGAAATTATCTCCAAGGACTACATCCCAACATAGAGAATTTTAAGTTCTTTTAATATAAAAACGCTTGCATGTTTTTTTCTGTGAATCAGTACAAATCCATTCCTTTTTTTTTTTCCAAACATAATGGGGAAATCTCATTGTGTATGCCTATTTTATATGCTATTTTTTCAGAAAGTAAGAAGACTTAATTTATTCAAGGGATGAAAATTTAACCTCTGAAGAAAGACATTATGAGTGCAAGATCCCGCATACCTACAAGAGCTCGGTGTCCTTGGAGGCAACTGCAGCTCATGACATGAGAAATGATGACAAACAGAACCAAGGGAATCAAATAATCAAACGCAACCAACTGAATTCAATGTAAAATGAGTTAGATTATTTCACAATAAGATTGGTAATGGCAAAGATAAATTGAAAAACTCTGTTAATTTAATTGCTATGTGAAACATACTTCTGTAAAATACACTTTAGATCCCTGAATCCCCTCAACTGGCACAAATCAAAATAAATTGTCCTGGATATGCCCTCCAAAATAAACTGCTAAGGTTGTAAAATGCTGCAGGGAACAAATCAATATATCAAGTATAAATTCATAGTGAAACAAGACTATAGTGAAAGGAGACTGCCAGTCAGCCACTACAGGAATTTTCTAGTTGCAAAACTAAATAATAATAGATTCTAATAATTATGTGTTCAAACAGCTACAGCAGTTGCAAGGCGAATCTCGTCATACAGAAACATAAGGCATTGTTCAACAACAATCTCAAAATTACAACTGACTCACCAATAGAGAGACAACCACCAAGCACCTTCAGGAAATTGTATATGCAAATAAGCTTCCTGCAGAGTAGGTACAGCCAATGAGAGAGAAAGAGAGAGAGAGAGAGAGAGAGAGAGATGCCCAATAAATCAGATCATGCTATTATTATCTTCTTTTTTCTTTTTTGTTGAGATTTTCAGATCGTGATATTATGTTATGTATTGCATGCATTACACTAATGGTCATGCAATTATTATTACTATGCGAACCATAAAGGAAGGAAAGAAATAATGTTTCTTTGTATTGCAAGATATAAAATTAGAAAAATAAAAAATTTATGAGCAGTTTCTCAGTTAGAGAAATCAAAATTCATTATGTTTTATTGGCAAACGTGGAAAGGTTAGACATAACTAGTATGACAAACAATAACGGCTTATATAAATTTGCTCAATTTAGTACTAAATATATTCTGTTTAAACATCACACACCAATTTCACAAAAGAACCGACAGTATACCTTGTCCAAGAATCAAAATTGCATTTGAAGCCAAAGGAATAATATCTTGGATTGTTTCACTGGCAAATATTGCTTGAAGAACTAGCAAAACAAACCAAAACTAGTTTAATCCCAAAATTTAAGTGAAAGTACAAGTATCCAATAATAACGATCATAGGACAAGTTACATGAGATCACAAGATGAAAATTTTCAGGAGAAACAAGTTTACCAAATAAGTGAAAGATTCACAAATGTAAAATTGATTTTCAAATGCTCTAGCTCAAAGCAACCTTTTAAAGGCAAGAACCAAGTAAACAAATTTCCTGTGTTATCCAAGAACCAAAATTACAATCACAACTGCAGGAACAAGATCCTTTCACTAGAAATATCACTTGGCAAAAGCCACTTTGCTGGAACAAGTTTCTGGAATGAACTTGATTTGAATGTGTCTTTAACAAATGCAGGCAACATCTTGAAGCAAAGCCAGAAACATGCAAAAAGCACTTGCAGGTTATGTACAAAATTAAACTAAATTTATTTATTTATGTAATTTTTTTTTTTTTTTTTGGGGGGGGGGGTGTGGATAAGTACAAAACTAAACTGAATAGGCCAGAGGAATTTCTAAAAAAATTCACAAGCAAATATCAATTTAACAATGGACAGACAGATAAGATATCTTTTACAACACAGTAAATAATTTTGCCTAAACCGAAATCTAGCTCTAACTCCCAAACCGGGAACCCGATTCAAGTACCGTCTTCTCCCACAAGTCTCTTGTGCCTAGGCGGTTGTGTGTGCCAAGTTTCGTGTTATTCCGACGCCGTTTGGTGATTTTGGGGCATTAACACCTCAAATTCTAAGTTTCTTAAGAAACTAGTTTGTTTCTTAAGAGTGAAATCCGGCTCTCACTCCCATACCGGGAACCCGATTCAAGTCCCGTCTTCTCCCACAAGTGTCTCGTGCCTAGGCGGGTTGTGTGTGCCAAGTTTCGTGCTACTCTGAGACCGTTTGGTATTTTGGGGCATTAACACCTGAAATTCTAAGTTTCTCAAGAAACTAATTTATTTCTTAAGAGTGAAATCCGGCTCTAACTCCCATACTAGGAATCCGATTCAAGTCCTGTCTTCTCCTACAAGTCTCTCGTGCCTAGGCAGTCGTGTGTGCCAAGTTTTGTGCTACTCCGACGTCGTTTGGTGATTTTGGAACGTTAACACCTCGAATTCTAAGTTTCTTGAGAAACTAGTTTGTCTAGAGTGAAATCAGGTTTTAACTCTCAAACCGGAAACTTGATTCGAGTCCCGTTTTCTCCCACAAGTCTATCGTGCCTAGACGGTCGTGTGTGCCAAGTTTCGTGTTACTCCGATGCCGTTTGGTGATTTTGGGATGTTAATACCTCGAATTCTAAGTTTCTTAAGAAACTAGTTTGCCTAGAGTGAAATCCGACCCTAACTCCCAAACCGGAAATCCTATTTGAGTCTTTTTTTAACCACTAAACAAAAAATCTTCTCAAACTATTAGAAAGCCTATCCAATGGGTCTACCCAAACACATCTATTTGTGGGTCTTTTTTTACTTTGTTTGCAATATTTCTTACATAGTTGAATGTTCAATATGATGTCTCTGCAAAACTTGAAGCATTCGTAATCACCACCTTAAAATTTAGTGAAACACAAAAAAGAAAAAAAACTAAGCACCATTCATTTTCATTCATATAATCCTTGAAGCCTAAAAATTTCCACAGACAATAGAAAAGTATAAAAAAAATAAGTAAAACAGAATTCTGAAAATATCAAACAACAAATGGTCAAAAATCAGAACAAGACAAACCTGAGAGCAGAGAGAAGTTGGGTTTGATTGACAACTTCAACAAAATGGTTACAAGGGCCTCCAATGCCCCAAGTGCAGAGATCACTTAATCGTTTTTGGCTCCGAATGAATTTCAATTCGTTGGAGAGATGAAAGGATGTAGAGTTGATTTTAGCAGCCAATAAAAGGTACAAATTATAAAACCAAAGTTGCACATTTCAGACCGGGAGAGCAATAGAAAGTAAATTTATAGGTTCAAAACCAAGTAGCAAACTGGAATAAGAATAAACTTTTGGCAGATCAACCAGTGTGCTAACAAAATGCCAAAAATATACAAGTAGTATATCGTTTTTTTAAAACAGAATCTTAATATTTTGACACAATGACATCAACCAAAAAAATAGGGACGGTATGCTGGGTATTAGCTATGTCGTTGGGTGTGATTATGTGTCTATGTCGGATTCATTTAATTCTCACACCCAAGGACACTGGGATATGGATATATTTCATGTTTCTTAAATACTTCTTTCATTTATTTAGAATTAAAGAGCCCTTTTTATACATAGAATGGGAATATTAGGCACAGTTTCACAATAAACTCTACCACCTAAACTTAATTTTTAGGTGTATGTCCAACTTGAAATTTGGCAAGTAAAATCACTGTAACAAAACATTAACACCGAGTAAATCAGCCAAAATAATTAGTGATGTCACCATTTGTTCCATAATTAAATAAACTATTCACATCCAAATGAGTGGAACATAATCAAAAGATTAAGATCATTCAACCACGTTGAATAGCTTATGAAGTAAAATGTCAAACATGATAGATATCAATATCATGCATTAAAATCTGCATAAGCATGCACAGCCATGCATGTTCCTAGAATCCTAGCCCAAATATCAATTTAAGAACCATTAACCAAACATTAGCAAATCAAGAAGGCTAGAGGAGCATTTAATTAATTAGCTTTATCATACCTCTCCTCTGCTATATTGTCGACATAGAATAGGGGCTAAAACTGATACAGAGAAAAATTCAATAAAAAATAAAAAATAAAGCCGAAATTGATTAGAGAATAGGGTCTAAAATTGGAAAGAAGAAATCGAAGGGAGTACCTTCAAGATTCTTACCAGTCATATTACTGTGAGAGAGAGATGGAGAGAACGAAGAGATTGATCAGTGTTTGTGAAGGGGTAGGGCAAATATAAGGAAAAGGGAAATATATATATATATATATATATATACACTAGCGGTCGCGCACACATGTGTGTGCAAATTAAAACAATATTATTTAAAAAAAATTATTATACATCACAAATTTATTAAAAAAAATAAATAGATAATACTTACAATTTTGATATAAACAAAATAAAATAATAATTCTTAAAAAAAGTACTCTTTAAAAATTATAAATCCAAGATTCTTAGAATATTTATAGTCAAATGGATTCGGTATACACAGAAATATAAACAATTACATTGAATTTTATTTTATTTTAATATAAACAAAGTAAAATAATAGTCAAATTTTTTCCTAAGCAACTTGATAATATAATGAAACTTTTCATCTTTTTTTTTTATTTTTTAATGAAGAAAATAAAAAGTATAATTAAATTAGTACACACAAAATAGAAAAATACAAACCTAAGACTGCCAAAACACTTACAATAAAAAAAAATTATACAAAAAAAATAAAATAACCATAGCAAAAACCCAAAAAAGAAAAACTATTTTTTAAAAAAAATAAATCCTTAAAAGCACCGGACACCAAAAAAAGGCTACGTCAACAAACAAATCAATTTTTAAAAAATAGAATTTATATATAAAAAACAAACAGAAGCTTAAAAAGGTGAAATAGGAACAAAAAAAATTAAATAGAATTTTTTTTTATAAGAAATGAATATATATATACATATAAACATAAAAACACATAAAATAGGAAAATACAAACTCGACTCTTTTAACACTTATAGATATACTTTATTTTCATTTTATCTAATTTATTTATTTTTTTTTTTCAAATTTCTTCCCAAATCCTCCAATCCAAACACAGTGATAGTTACAATTCTATTACTTGAGTCTTTGCCTTGATCAGCTGTTATGAAACATTTTATACATGAAAACAAATATTTTTAATATTATATTTTATACTAATTGATGATTAACATTAATAATGTTTGATGATTAAATTGAGGTCTTAAAATAGAGTAAATTATTCGCACCATTGTCTACCAAGGGAAGCTTGCAAAAATACCAACGAACATCATCGCCATCAAACGGACTTGTAGTCTGCGCGAGATACTTGGGGCGACCCTCACATTGCTCGATCTCATCCACCAATCTCTGTATGTTTGACGGAGTGTTCTTCAACATATCAGAGGAAGTCTCTTCATTCTTCCCATGAGAATCAGTAGCGTCAGGAACAGATAACCACCCATGATCCCCTTGCTCGCGTTTTCTTCTACTTTCACCCATTTTCTGAATTTGTTGTTGACACTCCATTCAACCATTCATTTCTGAAGCAAATCAAATGGTATGATATGGTATGGAGGAGGATTGATTTGATTCAATTAAATTATGATCTTGGAAATATGATTTTGCATAGGAATTTTCACATGAATGAATTGTTGCACGCCCATCCCATCGTATTATACGGCATTGTTCGGGAAGGAAGCTTCATCATAGATATCTCAACTCCAGAATCTTACATATGTTACACCAAAGCAACCGTAAAAATAGGTTTCGTTTGGGTGAAGATAATCAGAAGTGAATGAGGAAGATGAAGGAAAACCCATTTGATTCTTCTCGTCCACATTTCTCTATCTTTATCTCTCTCTCTCTCTCTCTCTAAAACTCCCTTCGTATACCCACAAATGAGAGTAATGGAAGAGAGAGAGCCAAATATATAGATCAACTACTGTCAAAGAATACTCAGAAGGAAGGAAACGACCGACAAATTTTGCAGAGAAACAAACAGAAAGTGCAGATGAAAACAAATGAAGAAGAAACGGAGAGAGAGATCGTCGATGTGTATGTGTTTTTGTGTGTGTGAGAGAGAGAGAGAAGGAAATGAAAACCGTTTCTCACCAATTGAGTACTGGGTAGTTAATTAATTAAGGAAGAAAGTGGAAAACGTGGGATGCCTTTTTTTTCTTTTCTTTGCAAGTTACTTAAATTCCACGTGGCACCATATGGTAGAGGCTTCAATAAACCAAAGGCTTCAGGACACCAAAGCTCCTGTTTGCTTTTAATAATAGTATAGATATAAATGTTAGGGTTTGCCAAGAGAGAGAAACAAAAGGATATACACACCAATTATTATGGAGAGGCCGGTGATGACGAGAAGCCATGCTCATCGGCGAATCGCACGAAGATGAGTTGCGTGAAGGTGAGGTGGAGAGAACTCAGGAAAATGATGAATCGCACGAAGAAAGGCATTAGAGTTGAGCGTGAAAAGAGAGAGAGAGAGAGAGAGAGAGAGAGAGAGAGGAAAAACGAAATCAGAGAGATAGGGTTTTGTGGAAAATTCGAACATTGGGAAATTTGGGAGGGAATTAAAAAATTGAGATCCTGGTTGATTTTCTTTTAAAAAATGTATTTTTGAATTTTTTAAAAATTGTTTTGTCTTAGTTTTTTGGATTCA